GCATTTCATGTTGGTGACTATTCATCACCCAATCTACGACTTCATTTTGCTGGCGTAGTAATCCGGAAGGAATACAAATTGGTTGCAACGTGCCTGCCCGCTGGCCGTACGCTGCTTCTCAGCACGGAAACGGTTCTTAATTAATTCTGCTTGGATAAAAACCCTAAAGGCTCACTGCAAAAATGGCCAAACAATGCTTTGCTGACTGTTAAAACCATTGAAAGCTGGCTTGACCAGTGCCATAATCAATCCACGACTCGCAAAGAACTGAAATTTAGTTGAAATTCGGCCTTTCAAGCAAAAAATCATTGCAAAAAATCCGACAAAAATTGAACTCAGGCTGGAACGCAACAGGCGGGCCCGTGCGAACATGCGCTTTTGCACGGGACTTGAAGTACTCAAGTCATTAAATGCATAAATGGTTGTTGCTTTACACCTACCTTTTGTGGTCATTAGCATAAATCATAAATTTTGTATCTAGTAAATGTGCAATTTTCACTTAACGGTCGTTCTTTAAAAGTAACCTAGTTGTTCAGTGAGAAATTTTTCCGCCAGAGCTTTTAAGTGCCCGTACGTAAGAACCACGCATATCTCAAGGCTGAATTTGAAACATTTAGGTTGTACTTAGGCAAGGAACATTCCCCTAAAATTTCAGCTTTCTAGCTTTTCTGCTTCCCGAGTTAACAATTCTCCCGCCAAATCTTTCACATGCTCGTGCATGAGAACCACGCATAACTGAAAGCTGAATTTGAAATATTTAACTTGTACTTGAACAGGGAACATTCCGCCAGAATTTCAGCTTTCTAGCTTTTCTGATTCCCGATTTAGCAATTTTCCCAACAAAACCTTCATACGCCCTTACTTGAGTATCGTGCATGCCTGGGGGCTGCATTTGAAATCTTTGGCTAAAACATGCACAGGGAATATTCCTACAAAGTTTCAGCCCCTTAACTTTCTGGTTCCCGAGATCGCTTTCCTGCCCAAAAATTTGCATATTTCTTTAATGCGTCCGTGCGCGGCACACCCAGGCGTACGCGGAGGATGATGTTAAAACGGGGGGGTCGCGCATGATGTGGGCACATACTCCCAAAGTTTCAGTCTTGTAGCTTTTCTGGTTCTCGAATTGAAAGTGGGTGACAAAAAGTGCGAACAGACAGACACACACGCGCACACAGACACACACAAACACACACATACACACAGACAGCCTCTTCCCAACATGCGTTTTTGCAATTTGCATATATTGTCGAGGAAAAGCGTCTCGAATGGGGACAAAACATAAAGGAAACGAAAGAGATATATAAATTGCATAAATTTGTTTTGCAGTACCGTAACTTCCTTTGTAATAACGGTGCCGCCGTCAATCAGCGGCACCAATATCAATCATGTATGCAGCTCTCTTTGTAAGCTGGACCCAGCTGGAGCGAGGAGGAACTCCAGGTGGGCTCAGTAGCCGGTTTTCCGGCAAATTTTCAGTGTCAACATTTGTTTTCGTACCGACCAGACGCCGCCTACCAACACCAACCAGTACGCCGTCTACCAACATCAGAACGCCGTCCACCACCATCGGACCTTACTTCCACTGTTTTCTTATTGTTACTACTATCGCATTAATATACCTATTGTTACCTCTAGTTAACAAGAGCAATTGAGGTTAATTATAATAACAATATGAAACTCCAAGAAATTCAAGGTCGGAAAGAAACTTGTGTTTTCACCAGATATATGCAAAAACGCATAAAAGGAAAACATGGATTGGCTGCCGGACTGAGAAGAGCAAAATCGAGCATTTATTGGTATTGTTACTGAACGTTTTTCGTAAGTACTGACCCCAAGCTTTGCAAGACCACCAGTGGCGGGAAAAACTCCGAAAACATTCTTTGGTGTTAGCTTGCCCCTTTGAGATTAATAAAAGCTGGGGAAAAAAACCCACCCAAAGAGAAGCATGGAGGGTCTACAAGAAGTAGATGGAGGAAAGCAGAACAACTATCGGAGGGAGGTCGGCTTTTTCAAAAAGCGAGAATTGGTCTGCGGTGAGGGAGGTTTTACAAACTTGTCGATCTGACAAGAAAGAAATTCTACATATCCTCTAATAAAGCTAGAAGTAAGATATTTTTTTTTCTTGCTAGATACTTTCTTCTCTGTCCTGACCTGTGACCTGAGACCCAAATTTAGGTTAGTCTTGTGTATTCAAACGAGATAAGATGCAGGCTGAAGATTTTCAACGTGGGCTGGATGACCGAGCATCCTGCTGGAGATACATGAGTTCATCACTCCCAGTTGCGGACTCACTCCATAGGAAGCTACTGTTGTTGTTGTTTAAAAATTTAAGGTGTGAAAGAATAAGGAGAACTGGGAGCATGGTGGAGTGTAGGGAAGACTGGGAAGGATATTATAAGAATAGAAGAGAATGAAAATAAGATCATGTGCATAGCGCTCGGTGGTCATATCTTTTTCACATATGATAAGGGATGATAAGGAGCGATTCTGAATCGAGGACCAGGCAAGCCCTGCATCCGAAAATTTGCCCTTACCATCAATAAATAGATCAAAAAACCATCGTGAACAGATACAGCTAACTTCTACATATTTTTTTGAGTTTATTAACCGAGTACATAATAAAACGCGCAAATTACACCAACCTTCCTGTATAAACTAGAAATTAATATATTATAGTGAATTGAGGGAACATTATCCAACGGCGAGATGGCCGAGCGGTCTAAGGCGCTGGTTTAAGGCACCAGTCTCTTCGGAGGCGTGGGTTCGAATCCCACTCTCGTCACCCTCACTTTTCCACTTGTGCGGCGTGATGTGCTCGCATGGGATTCATTTCTGTTCCGAAAAGCAAACATTTTGTGAACAGAAATGAAGGGATTTTTTGCAGGAGAGGTAAGGGACCGTAGGAAACTTGCAAAATTTTACAAAATGATAAAAGAACCT